GATTAAAAATAAGATTATAGTTTTTTGATACTCTCGGAGAGAGTGTTTTTCGTAAAACTATCTTAAGAAAATGCTTCAATTAAATAAAAAAAAAACTAAGTAAAGTAACATATATGAGGTGATTTAAATTAATATTCTCAGAAATAGTCTGATATCCTCAAAAACTTTGTTCTAGCAAGTCACCGAGCTAAATAATTGTCTCGCGAATCCCGCGGCGCCATTTTGGAAGCTTAATTGCTTAAGTGTCGTGGAGGACGTGTCCGCATTCCGCGCTTGAAATTTACATAAAATCCTTTGTGTGAGCTCCATAGAATGTTATGGTATCGTAAATATTTACAATATTCCCAGTTTAAAGTTACACGTGAACAAGAATTTAGAAAGACAACCGTCTCTGCTTCACTGTCTTACAGTATGAGAGATATGTTTTCAAATAGAAATAACGCTTTTATTGAGGAAATCATTATTAGGATCAATCTATATTGTCTTGTATATATAGTGGTCAGTTGGATAGTATTTTATACTACTTGGATAATAATGAAGAAATTGCACAACTTAATAACTCAATATATCTTTCACTATCGAAAACCAGACGCATGGCGGGTGTCTTTCCTTTTGTTTTACATTATCCTCTCATCCAAACGGAGTTATACGCTTCCTTTTCCTCATGTTCACAGACAGTGATTGGAAGAGTTTGCTTTCTTTCACCTATAATTTGAATACCTTAAACTCTTGATTAAATAAGCTGTCGTGGATTTGAGGAATTTACCATTTTTGGAATCAATTTTATACACACGAATTTCAAAATACGTACTTTACAGTTTTTAGTTGAGATAAGTTTCCAATAAGAATAATTTTAAAAAGATCGTGTCCTACTGTTTTATTTTAATGCACCAACGTACTGGTATATTATTATATGTTTATACAGAATAGTTACTAAAACTTTGGAAAGTTTTTTGTTGTATATGAAAACTTCGCTATTATCAAAATAAATACACACAGCACGTCGTTTTGTCCAATTTCTATTAATTTTATAATTCATTTCTTTTATGTCTTCTGCTTATTTAAATTTCACTTTTTTTTATTTTAATTAATTATATACATAGTTACATTTATTGTAGATATTATAATAATAGATATTTTTTATAGATGAATAATTACAATTCTAGGGTTCGAAACACTGAAGAAATGTTATGAAGTCAACAAAAATATCTCCTAAATACTGCTTATTCCAATTTATTAATAAAAATATATATTTTCCAGTTTCGCGTTTTTATGTACCATGTGTAATCGTTTCACTAAAAGCATTTTCCAGCACACTCCTGTGTTGTAACAGTTATAGTTCTGAGAGAATATTATGCATCATGAGTGCAACAGTCAAAACTCGTCAAACTCATTAACTTAAGTCATTTCACTCTATGAAGTACATCCACACATTAATTACCTCTTCTGTATACGTGAATCATAATACATTAAGAGACGAGTTAAATTATTAAATGAGCCATATATATGCGTGGATTTTTTTTAATTTTAATAAATTTAATCATGGTCCTCTAATCTGTTAGCAAAATCAGATTGAAAATGCCTGTAAGTTAGTTTACTAACTTTAGCCTATATTAGTTTGAGGGTCAACAAACGAGCTTATAGGATTAATTACGGGGACTTCAACAACTCTTGAAGTTTGAACATCGTTATAGACATATTATACAAATATCCTCAGAGGTAATTAAGGACACTGAAAATTATTTTAAATAGTAAAATTTGCTCTTTCAGAAACAATTATGCGTAATAGTTTCAAGATAAGCTGGCTCCTCTGAATGTAAGTGGATGATTATATTTAATAGCAATTATAAACAATATATGTAACAAAATGTAAATAAATATATGTATAAACTATTAATGTAGACGGGAGCCTAAAAGGTACTTCTCAACATTGACATGATAGTCCCAAAAATAGGAAGAGTAATTTAATATTCTTATGCTTTAGGCCAATGAAAAAAGTTTTTTTTTTATTCTATAGCCATAGCTTTTACAAACATTAGTTTTCCTAAGTAATAAATACTTATATATTTCTTCCAAATACTAGCTTGTATAGTGTCAATGAGATACTAAAACATTAATGTCGTATGTATTTACGTAATTAGGGAAACTAGTACATGGTAAGCAGAATAAAAACATTCCTGTAAAAAGTATAGATTTAATGGAATCTACAATTTAACTGAATTCAAATAGAGAGTCATCTCGCTCTGTAAATGCTTCAGTTTTTTAACCTTTTTAAAAGCCTTTGCGAACTCGAACGTCCGATGTATAGCTTTAGCCTTTTCACTAATTGAAAATCTGTTTTTTTTATTTTATATAAACTTTAATCAGCAGAAACTTTCGACTCTGTAAATTCTATGTTACTATGAAACAAAATAATTAATTGTATTATTTCCTATACATGTAACAATGTTAATTGGTGACAGGAAGTTTTGCGGTTTCTGTATTTGTCTACTTAAATATTTAAATAGAAACTCTGAATTGCAACTTTATTTTATGTTTTAGGAATGACTATTATTATTTAATTTGAACTATTCATAAAATACATTGTAGTATTAATACACTGTTTTTTTTTATATTTTGTAAAGAGGTTTCAAATACACATTACGTTGAAATAGACATATATTATTTAATAAGTAATAAAACTAGTTAGAGACGTAAAATTAGCACAGGAAATTGGTTGCTGAGGAAAAGTGGAGATTAGAAGAAGCATAAACTCTTAACAATTTGATTTGACAAAAGACTTTTAATTTTTCAAGAATTTTAAGAGCATCAATGATTCGAGGGAAAAAGATCTTTTTAAAATCTGTAATAAATGACATAAATAGTTGATGGTTGTATTAAATATACGAGTATACTCTTATTAATAGGTGATTTGGTGATTTGAATATGAAAAAAATAGTTTTGGCGCGAGAATAACATGTTATCAAATTTTTTACCTTTTCTTAATAAGTCAATATAGAATATGCAAACCTAAATGCAAAATTTATTTAGTCAATATAGATTATTTTAAGTAGAAAATATTTAATTCTAGATCTAGGGTTATTATTTATTACGTATTTACTGTATCATTGTATTAGCTGTAATTAATACAAGAATTTAAGCGATAAAATTGAGGGAGACCAGGTGATGATGTCATAGTTACTATATCATTTAAAATAATTTTCCTGAACGTCCGTGTATTACCCACGCATAATACCCACAAGCAAATTGATAATTAAGGAAATAAGTTGAGTCGAATTATGTCTTTAATTTATAAGGTATACAAAGAAAAATATTTAATTCGTTTTCTTTATTTATTAATTCATATATAGTAATAATATTATATATATGTAAGTGTAACAATAAGGATATATTTCTCATATAATTATTTGTTTTATTAACCGTGATGTGTTTTTGTTATTGTAATATGACGAGTTAAACGACAAGATTTTCTTTAATGTATATTTTAGGTGACCCATACATATTTTTGGACTTATATGTAACAAGTTTTCCGCCCGCAGCTTCGCCCGCATGGAGTTTGGTTATATCGCGTTTCCAAGAGAACCTTTCAAAAATCTGGGAAAAGAAACTATCCTATGTTCTTTCTTAATGTCAACTCTATCTCTGTAGCAAATTTCATTAAAATCAGTTCAGTGGTTTAGGCGTGAAAGCGTAACAGACAGACAGACAGAGCTACTTTCGCGTTTATAATATTAGTAGGGATGATATATTTTATTCTTACTTGTGTTTATGTATGTGAATGTTTTTCTATATCTGATTATGTAAAGCAGCGTTCAATTTCAAGAGCTCATTTTATAAAATATCTTAATAATTTAATTTTTTTTATATTTTTTGGCGATGTGCTCATTTTTGTTTAAAATATTAAGATAGGATATAATCCACACATTTTAAAACAATATCTATTATTTAACAACATAAAATAAATACACAGCTAAGAATGTTGTAGATAAATAAAATTGTATATAGAGTAGAAAAACCAGGTTCTTTATTTCTTTTATCGTAATTATTATTAGGAGAAGACTCTAACTCTTTATATAACTAGGCTTATATATAAATATAAAGATTCAAATATTTTCGGAACCTTACAAAAAACTAGACAAAAAACAGAAGCTAACCAGTTCTCTAGAATAAAAATTATTACAAATTAACTTTTTACGACTTGTTATACACAGTAGATATATGTATGTCTCTTTAGACAATATTTTAATATTTATGTTTTTGTGTTAATAATTTTATGAGATAGAAATATATTATTTCTGTTATATTTTCATAAGATCCATATATGTTTGATATTAAAACTAATTGCAGAATTTAATCGAATATTTTCTAATAATATAAAAAAGCATAAAATGGTATATCTTTACAGAATGATAATCTAAAACAAAATTTATTATACAGCTGCCCTCTTGCTACTGCTAGGCGCAGTAATATTTTTCAATATTTATTAATGCGTAGGAATGGAATAGTAATCAAAAATTATCATGTGTGTATGTTAAACATCTGTGTTACTGATTTTAAGGTGATGCTTTCTTATCGTGTAGACATTTATATTACTTATACAAAGATGTATAAGACTTTTATATATTTTTCATTTTATATTTATCTTTGTATTTAATTTTGCGTAGATTTAATTTATTGAAACCATATGTAAATTTTAATAGGTCTTTAAGTTTTTATCTTATCGAAGAGGATAAATATTAAGCTGTTATTATTTTAAATATTACATAAACGCTATATACATTCCACATATATATACAGCATAAATATATACTTATTATAAATGCCGTATATGTCTTAATATGTTAGAATTTCTCATAAGAACAGGTTTAATAGGAGTCTTGTTGCGGTTTTCATTCATTGTTCAAATCGCTTATGTTATGTTGCGGACGTGTTATAGTGATAAATTAATTATAATTTTTGATAAAATCTACTAATCGAGTGATTTTTGAGGAGATTTTAATATGTTGATAATTGTTTTGTTAGTTTTGAGTTGCTTTATAGGAGCCTACTCTCAGGATCCATCCTTTCAGGATACGAGCGAAATTTTAGAGAAATTTCTATTAGAAGCCATCAAAGTAAGTCTTAAAGTGGAATTGAAATAAATATTACGATTCAATGTATTTTGTTTTATAACTTTTTTCTACAGAATAATAAGACTATTGATATCGATTTTGGAGATTCTGATGAAAAGCCATGTATACCACTTGAAGCAGTTTCTGAAAGTACTCCTGTAGCTGGGCGGAGGATAAGTGAACAAAGTCAGTACAGAATTCATATATAATTTACAATACTTTTAGCATGAGTTTACATCGTGAAACAAAACAAACCATACAAATGAAACTAATATTTTTTGATTACTACGAGTCATTTTATTATTTTTACCCTACATACTCCCGGCGTTTCGGTTACTTTGGAACAACCGTGATCACGGGCAGACTATTCTATAACAAGACCAACTGATAGATATTTTCATCTGTCAGTAATCACGATTGCTGGAAAGTAACCGAAACGTTGAGAGTATGCAGTTTAAAAATAGTAAAATTATGCATAGTATTCCGATAATAATAGTTTAATCTAAATGAATACTTGAAAAAGTCTTAGATCTCATCAAATTATACATATGTTAGGATAATCATATAAATACTAAAAACCGTATGTTTAGTTTAAAGCTGAAACTCGTGGTACGTACAATGTTTGGCGGTTATTGATTGAATGCATACCACAAATTATATGTAATATATGTTCTTGTGGTTAAAACTGTTATATGTTATATAAATAGCCAAATACTCCGGTTTACTGTAAATAAAATCTTTATTTATAAGTTGTGTTCTTAAAATGTATGATATTGTTATTATATTTGTTCTATTTCAGAGTGTTACGAATACATTGAACAGATGAAGAACCGCGAAAAGGAAGAAAAATGGGCTGAACGATGTAAGTTTTATTAAATATTAAACAAAAAATCTATTGTTTTTAATATAAGTAAATCGTCTTTATTTTAATGTTTTGTTAAATAGAACAATTTAACTTACAGGTCGTTTGTATCTTCTTTCTCAAATAAAAAAAGGAGTTTTTGATGAAATTATTTTTGTTATTAATAGTCCAGTTATATTCGGCGGTCGGCCTGCTATTAATGGTGAATTCCCTCACATGGTAAATCATTATTGTTCAAGTGATATTGTTGAAGATACTTGAGAATAAAACGTATTAATTTCATTAATGTTTAAGGGAGCAATTGGCTGGAGATCTAAAGATTCGTCGAAGAAGTGGGTTTTTAAATGCGGTGGTGCACTTATTAGCGAAAAGTTCGTGCTCACAGCAGCACATTGTTCAAAGTTATCTTTGAGAAGAGTTTCAGATATTGTTAACAGGCAGCCTGAAATAGTACGACTAGGTGTTAATGACATTACAAGTGATGAGGTAATATCTTATATATATAAATGAATTGCTGTTCGTTAGTCTCACTAAAACTCGAGAACATCTGAACGGATTTATCTTATCTTAGTCATGAAATGTTTGTGGATGTTCAGGAAAGGTTTGAAAGTAAAAAAATTTGATTGATTTCCTTGAAAACCCTAAAAACAGCCCTATTCTATTTCCCATACAAACGTTTTTTTGACATTAGATTTGACAACTAACTAATATGTCATTCATTCCGTTCCATTGAAACAGGAAAAAATGTAATAAATACATTGGTATTTAAGACGGAATAGAGTTCGCCTGGTCAGCTATACATATATACTAATGACGAAATTAACGCGGACGAAGTCGCGTTCAAAAATTAGTATAAAACATATATTTACTAGATTTTGCCCGCGACTTCGTATGCGTTAGTTTCAGAAATATAATTGTTTACTTTAAATACAGTAGATATGAAGATTTTGGATTTGACCAACTTATTTTTTTTTATTTCAATCGGATGAAAAGTATGCCATGTCCTTTTTCTACTTCTAAGCTATGTCTACACGCCAAACTCGTGCAGCCGTTCTTGAGTTATAAATAGTGTAACTAACACGACTTCTTTATATATAAAGGTTATCTAATAAACATGTATAATATTACAGAACTGTACCATTAATTAATTTCAGTTCGAAATCAACGGGCAAATCACAGATGTAAAAATAAAACGCATCATTGTCCACCCGAAGTATGCTTCACCAAAAAAATATTATGACATTGCGCTCATAGAACTGGAACAGGAAGTGAAATTTATTGGCAATCTGCAACCAGCCTGTCTCTGGATAAATAACGATTTTAGTGAACTCGGAAACACAGCTTCTGTTACGGGCTGGGGGTACACTGAGGACGGTAACAAATTTTACATACAAATTTTAAAGACTATAAGTATATTACGTGAACAAAATGCAGTTACTAATAACCTTATATCATTGGGCCTATTTTTATTCTGAATGAAGATAAATTGTGTACATCTATAGTCCACGAGAAATGAGATGGAGGAATTAATAACCTAGATAGATTTAATAAAAATATCTTAAGAGCTTGTTGCAATCATTATTATTGATTTAAATTACTTTTAAAAGGGACAATTTTTTATTCAGAAAGTATTACAGCGAACTTTAAAACTTATCGTATATAATAATTCATCTAGTCTGTGGATAGTGGAAACAGAATCAAGCCATATTTATCAAAAAATACAAAAAGAGATCGTTCTGCTAGCTTTAGCACAGAATTAGAGTCATATTTCACGACCACTGTTATTCTAGTGTATGTGGAAGATTTTGGCTCAGTCCAAGCCGTTTATATTTAGCTAAAAAGTATATGAATATGAGTTGGCTTAACTACTTATAGATAATTGACATTAAGTAAAAAGTTACTTAATGATTGTTATCAAGGCAAAATCATTTAAATTATGTCATTTAGGTCATCAATCTGAAGTTCTCCGAACAGCCACTATACCTGTGATAGAAACTAAGCAATGCGAACCACTTCTTGTACAGCATCGGAATCGTAACTGGAAAGGTCTCACTTATCATCAGATTTGTGCTGGCAATTTAACTGGAGGCGTTGACACTTGCCAGGTTTGAATAGTAATATTTTGGGATAAAATGAAATGCTTTACCGCTAGCATTTGAAAATGCTTTCTAACATTAGAAAAGAATTACATTCGTTCCATAATAGACGTCTAATTTTGGGCAACAAATCTAATGGATTATTCACTTTAATATGTATCTTAATAAGAAGATTTAAAATTGAAGATTACAAATCAAAACTAGGTACTATATTATGACAACTAACTAAATTAATATTTTCAACTATGATGCAAAGTAACTTAAACGTCGCGAATATGTAGGTTTTAAAAATACTCATAGTAATCCGAAAATATTAGTTTCATTTTTATACTATATCATTTAATACCTTTTATTTCTTGACAGGGTGATTCTGGAGGTCCCCTTCAAATAAAGATGCCTCTTAAAACTGAGGGTAACATGCACTGGATTCTCGGCGTCACGTCTTTCGGAATCAAATGTGGACGGAAAAACCGCCCTGGAGTCTACACTCGTGTATCAAGTTTCATAGATTGGATTGAAGAAAATGTTTGGGCACAGAAAGAAATACCTAAACTCCTATTTAAAACGTAGTAATTCTTTATTAGGTACATACAGAAAGTGTCAGAAAGTTTTATTAAGTTACCACTTTTAGTTGCATATTATAACAGATTAAGTCTTAATTTAATATATATCTAATGTATATGTTCTTAAAGACTATTTTATTGAATGTTTACAAAAACCAACATCAAAGTCGTGATAAATAGAAAGTTCCTTGAGTTAAAACAGTAAACTATAATTCTTGAAACGTTTGTCGATTATTCTTAACCTTGTTTCCCATTTCCCTTTATAGATTGTATCTTGTATAGATTGCATCTTTTATTCCTTTATATAGTTGCACAAAATTGATCTAATATCTAGTTGAAAACTAAAAAGGGGTATCATCTCAATTGAACAATATAAAAATATACATATGTTAGTGTATTTTGAACTGACTTTTGTCATAACTTTCATATGTCCTTTGCGAATGTCATCGAATTAATTTTAAACAATTTTGCTTAAGGTCGGTTTAGTATATTACTATATGGATTTACACAATCCCAAAAAAACTAAGAGTATTCATTTTTATTTTCTAATTAAACTTCGGTATATTATCCTAATATCTAGCTGCCTACTGCTGTTTTGACCACTATACATTTTTTTTTAACTAAAATAAGAATTATATATTCTATCTTCAATTCTTTTGTATAAATTTGATAAATATTCGCCTTATAATTTTTAATGAATTGTTAAAAAACTTAAATTTATCTTCATACATCTTTAATATTAATCAAAATTTTCACATAATTGCCAGAATAAAGTCTCATAAAATGATCGCAAAGAGTATATATTTTGACCTTATAACACAATTAAGCAATAAATAAAAATTATTTATTGTTGTTTTTTTTAAGTGATAACTTGTTATGATAGGTCAAACCGCTTCGTAACGTAACGTAACGCGTAACGCTGCCACTGAGTCTGATTTCCCTTTCTCTCACATATACGGCATCAATATTACACGCAAGCGCCAAAAATGTTTGAAGTAATCAATTTATTCATGAACAGATTACCCATTTAATTTATATAAAATTTAAATATGTAATAACTTAAGCTTTTTATAAGTCACACAATCTTTATATTAAGTAGTTTAAGTTACAATTTATATCGAGCGTCCCGAGATGCACAATTTATTATTTTTAACTTATTACGTACGTAATTTGTTATTTGTATATAATGTATAATTTTTTTCTATATAAAATCACTAAAAATATGTTTTCTTATTAGAATATAGGAAAAATAGGATCCCATGTTACATTGAATTACCATATGTTTGAAATTGTTGAGTGAAGTTTTCTTTTCCCGATACCACACTTGCGTCTCGTCGGAAACTCGAGAGGAATAGTTCCTGTTTTTAATATGTAATGTAAATCTAAATATTGTTTACGTTACTTCGCTGTTTTCTTTTTGTTTCATCCTTTTTCTTTCGTATAATTTTGTTTCCGTGTATTGAAATGGGTAACATCACATTAACAAGTTATCAACATTATAATATGACCCATAAAAATAATTTTAGTTCAAGTTGTGGAGTAATTCAATGAAATAAAATCCATTTATAGAAAAAATAAAGCCATAATAATTGTGGACTAAAACCCTTTTGCAGTATTTATTATTGTTTAATAACTATACGTATTACTTAATTATTTTAGTATGAAAATTCCTTTAATTTACAGATTTTTGTATTAAAAAGTATTTTGAATAAAATTATTTATATCTTTAATAATCCTTTTCCATATACATCCTAAGACAATATATTAGTTGTTTATTTAACATTCTAGTGAAAATATCTAAAATCTTCCGTAAAACGTTTACTTGAAATTAGTTTCCAGACTTCGTCTTTGATGAGCAAGAACTGAATTTTGAGAACGCCTGGAATTTCTGAGCACATAAGGTTTATAGATCGTGTGCTTGAACGATTTTGTCTTTAATATAACTCGAGAGCCTTACTAACTGTGATTGTAATAAATTAATATTGTGTATTAGTATAATAATATATCCTGGGATAAGCACAAATAAATAAGTATATATTATAATGTTTATAATATTGTAATGTAAGCTATATTACATTCAATTGAAATAGTAACTTTATGTTATTTTATCGACATATAGTACAGTCATGATATTGCTGTTGTACAAAATAACAATATAATCTAAAGGCGTTTTTAAAAATTTAGACTTCTGTTTACATAGATGTCAATTTTATAAATGCAGAGATCATTTGAAAAGGTAGGTACAAAAAAAGTAGGTAAAAAAAATAATATTTCATATTATAACTCATAAATTTTCGCCTATTCGTGTGATATCGGTTCATATTTCTTTATTATTATTTAAAATCGTAATAAATTATGAACATATAAATAGGAAAAAACCATCAAGTAGTCCTTAATTACTAAAAAATAAATGTTTTTTCTAATTATATTGAATTTATTATTCGAAATATACAATTAAGATTATATTACAGTAAATAGGAACATTTTTCATTGTATTATTTTTAGAAACCTTTCTATATTTATATAACTAGAATACTTCTTCGTGAGTCACACTTATAGAAAGTGCCTAGAAAATTGTATATTCACGTTAGCTCTAATCCAAAATAGATTATGAATAATAATACAAACTTTGTAAGGTACTTTGGCTACAAGTTCTGCGGACCTCGTCTTGATCGCTAAGTTTTCTTGTTAGGCCCGTAAGGACTTGAGAGTGGAGTTATAACAGGTTCTCACGATTTCTTTCATATACTTTGGAGTATTGTGATAATGTGATATGATTTTTATGAATGAATTAGTCTTGTTATCAGACGTTACTTTTGCTTTGTTTAAATCCCCTTCGAGATATGCTTCCCTACTATAATATTATAAATGCGACAGTAACTCTGTCTGTCTGTCTGTCTGTTACGCTTTCACGCCTTAACCACTGAACTGATTTCAATGAAATTTGATACAAAGATAGAGTTGACTTTTGAAAGGTTCTCTTGGAAACGCGATATAACCAAACTCCAAGCGGGCGAAGCTGCGGGTGGAAAGCTAGTAAATATATACAAGTACTTAACAACCATATGCTGACTTTAGAAAAAACTATCAATAATAATAAATTATTTCAATGAAAAAATGCAGTATTAATAAAGCAGCAAAGATTATTCTTATTTAATCCATTACTTTTTAATTAGAGTTATTCCATATAAGTATACGTAGAATACGCAATCTTCCAGCGAGAGCCTGACATCATTTATCAATAGAGACGTATTATTAATGCTTGCAGTCATTTTTCACGGAGATTCATCTGATTGGACAGTTCGTCACATGATTTTCATATAAAACGATATTTAATTACATATAATCCACGGACGGAATTATTTAAAATGACCGGGAAAATGAAATAAAAGATTTTAAAAAGTATTTAACGTCTATATAAAGACAGTGGAAGTATGATGGTAAATTATTTTTGAGGATTTTCGATGATTTTGTAGATTATTTGTATGTTTAAGGCTATTAATATAATAATAGTTATAGGAAGGAATACTAAATAACTCCCTAGGTCCCAAATTGTAAACTCCACCTTCTAAGTTGCATCTTGTTGTATTAAAAGAATTATTTTATGTAATTATTAGACAAATAAGGTTTAATAAATGAATATTCCGTAAAAAATCACATTGTCTTTGAGGTGGCGTTTATATTTTTTGCATAATTTTCTATTCAGTTATTACTTATTAGAAGAAGACTGTTAAGTTGAAGTTGTCATTGTTAATAATGACCCTTTTTGGGGATGTGAAAAGATTTGGTAGTACTAATTGATTGTAAATTAGTAAACCAATCAGAACCAATTATTGACCAATTATTAACCAATCAGAACCTTTGATTTATCACAAATTTCTATACTTTCTTATTTTAAATTCCCTTCACGCTAAAGGTTTATATTGGTATTCAAATTGTAATGAAGTCCTCCATTGAAATCCTATTTCTTCAAGCGTAAATCTATTGAGCAGTACTCCTGAGGTGAGTGCATTTTGTTCTGTTGTATCTTTTAGGCCAAATAAAAGTGTAATGCTATTGATTGTATCCATTTTAAATATTATTCTTAGAATTTGCTTAAGAAGGTTTTAAATAGAAAGATAATATTGTTCATTTTTATATGGACTGCTACCTTGAAGATTTGTCATATTTCATTGATAATTACTAATATTATTTTTATAAGAGTTCGCCTAATATGTTAAAATAAATTAATTAATGTTCAGTTTTATTCAAGCTAAATAAATATATTTCGACATGAAAAGTATAATTTAGTATACAAATGTATATTTTTATTGAAATACCTACCAAATTATTATAATGTTGTTTGTATTCTGTTCTTGTATGTCATTAGTCAGACATCCTTGTGCTTAGTTTATTAAAGTTTATCAAAGGTTAATATTTACTGCGATACCTAAGGCGCTAATAAATGCGCAG